ACTGATGGCAGGACAACTGACAAATTCGGTGAGACTCTGTCTCAAAATGAGAAATATAAAAAGGGCTGACGCTGGAGGAGAAGCAGCCTGAGACCAGGCAGGGCGCAGCTTGGACAGCTGAGCCAGGACAGTCAGGTGTCCCCGGCAACTTCCAGACAGAACAGGAAGTGAGCGGTCAGAGCAGGTGAGAAATCTCTGCTGGAGGCTCACTGCTGTCATTTCCAATGAGCCGATTTCGTCAGCACGCGCGAGCGCACGCGCAGGCAGTGTCACAGCCTGGCAGTGAACTCCAAAGCCACTCACCTCTCAGGCACTGTTGCCATCTGCCAACTGTACCCCTGCAGGGACACAGACCTGACTCCTTCCATGACCCAGTTACAAATATACTGCCCTTCTGTCCTCACGAGCACCATTACTAGGACCCGCAGCGGCTTTATTACTCATTTTACCAGCCTGTAAATACCCACTGGTGCTTTCACCCACTGTGGTGGTGGCAAGAGCATATGATCCCAGCACATCTGTAATTCAAGCATTCGGAGGCTGAGGCAGGAGGACTGCCTCCAGTTTTAGGCCAGCCTGGACAACATAGTAAGTTCAAACTCAGCCTGGACTACACATTGAGACCCTGTCTAAAAACCAACTTTAGACCCAGGCAGCTAAATTCCAACTACTTCCTTTATTTGTGGTTTCTTCCTGTGGTGCCCTGGGAAAAACAAGACGGAACCATGGAGGACTCCAGGGCTGATGTCTGGGCATCCTTTGCTGAAGATTCCCATGGTCGGTGGAGACACAGTCCACTGAGAAATTCAGCAGACCCCAGAAAGCCAGGCTACGAAGCACACCCCACTTCTAGACTCGGGCAGCTCTCAACCTCCGACACAAGCATTTTGAGCGAGCTGGGGACCCCAGGACACAGTCCAGCCTCTGGGTCTCTCTACACACAACAGGTCACACACGCTCAAACACCATCGTGAAGTTCTCCCTTTGCATGGCCGAAGAACCTGGTCTCCCAATCGTGCAAAAACTTGCAAAGCCCTTTCTATTAGCCTTCGGGTAGTGTGAGCCCCACTTGCTTTTAAATACTTCCTTTTCCCATGACACTTCTATATCCTTCACCATGATGCAAGCTTCTTTATCCTTCCATTTGCAGAAGCCCTCATGTTAAACTGGTTTTGTGGTATTTTTGTTTTTGTTTTTTTTGGAGAGACAGTCCTACTCTGTAGCCCAGGCTGGCCTTGAACTCACGGCAACCCTCCTGCCTTAGCCTGGAATTACAGCTGTGTAGAACCACAGATGTGTGCCTGCACCATGCCCAACAAGTTAATTTTTGTAAATGTGGCCTTTCTTTTTTTCAAGGCTGCTAAGTACCAGGTCCAACGTGGAAATCTGAGCTAATCAGAACCCCGTGAGTAGCTGCTGGGAATAAACATGGCAGCGGTTACTAATCCTCCACAGGGCTTTCGTTACTGCCCTGACTTAACGCTGAGTTATGACCAAGGTTCCAAGAAGAAGATAAAGTAGCCTGGTGACCACCAGGCTGACCCGAAGTCATAGCTGCATAGGCCGCTCTTTTCCACCATCCACTCTTCTGCCCAGATCCTGACTGTCCGGGAACCGGTGAGCCCACCCATCCCAGTGCCATGGTGGAAAGGAGACACCGGGTTCACTCTGCAGAGCAGCAAACAGTGACCAGCCAACTTTTCTTGGGGGAAGAACTGCAGGATGACCCAGTGCACACGACAAGCACTGAGCAAGAAGATGAAATGCTTCCGAGGGCACTTCGGGGCAACATTGGGGTCTAGGGCCAAGGCTTCTGGGGGCACCCAGGGTGGCAGGGAGACAGTGCAGGGCCCCTGCTTCCACAAGCTCGCTCTGTCTCTCTCCATTCTCCCAGGACCAAATGAACTTTTATAAGAGCTTTTCCAGGGGCTGGAGACTGCATCCAAGTGAACCTTGTGCAAATTTACTCCTCCGTCAGCAGAGCTTCTGGAACATCGGGTAATGCCGGAGATACCAGGCTTGACTTGGCACTGCTGGAGCCCGGTATCTCACTCTCCAGCCCGTCCCCTCCCCACCCTCAAGAGAAAGGTCCTGGAGGATGTGAGCAGGACCACCGGTGTCTGCCTCTGTCTGGTCCTTGCACCAGTGCCCCTACACAAGTTATTTTAAAGAAAAGACAGAAGGAGGAGGAGTTTCCCACCGGCCCCTCATCTTCCCATGGTGGTCACACTGCCAGGTAAACAGGAAGCTGACAAGAGACAGGGGCCTTCTCTTCCACAGGACCAGCTCAGCCTCACTGGGAAAGTGAGGTCTCAAAGCAGACCCAGTCCTGAAGAAAAAAGCGGGATGCATCAGACAAGGGCAGATTCATCTGGCGTTTCATCCTACATGTCTGCCGAGCGTACATTATGTGCCAGGCACCAGCACAGGGAAAACACCTGCCCTCATAAACAAGCAGTTTAGTAAGGGGAAGCAATGAAATAAACCCTAAGAAGACTGCACATTAGAAAGTGAGGAAGAGCTAGGTACAATGGTACACACCTGTAATCTCACACTCTGGGAGGCTGAGGCAAGAGGATCACAAGTTTGAGCCTGGGCACTTTAGTGACTTAGATCCAGTCTCAAAATAAAAAAATAGGAAAGGGCTGGGAATGTAGCTCAATGCTATGTAACTCAGGTTCAATCCTCCAAACACACGACAACAGAAGTGAGTTACAGAGAAAAATAAAACTGGGGATGTATATAAGAAATGAGTGTGTGTGTATGTGTGTGTGAGAGAGAGACAGAGAGAACATTATAATCCTCAAATGAAACAAGTTTGTGTTTCTGAAGCTGTGAGATTCAGATTACAACCTTATGTTTAAACTCCCACCACCTAACTAAAAACTTATTGTAATAATAAAAGAAGAGGGTATTTTTGGTCTTTTTGAGACAGGTTTCACGTTCAGGCTAGCCTTGAACATGAAGCAATCCTCATGCCTCAGCCTCCCAAATGCTGGGATTACTAGAGATATTTCTTCAATATTGCACCTCCAAATTTTATTTCGCATCCCTGTTGGCCACTCCGACTTGTTTCCCTTCAAACAGAAGTCTGGAATCAGCCACCATGCTCAACATCCTAGCCTGTCAGTTTCTTAAACACAATCTAAGTTTAAACTCCACAAATAAGCTACTTAAACTTTTACCAGATTAGATTTCTACATTTTCTATACACTGCCAACATGGAGGTGCCCTGTGTCCCATAGGTCTCAATTTTACAACACTCCTAAGTGGCCCGGGAAGCCCGGGGTTGGGGCAATATCCTAAATTGCCAGTCACTGATGGGCACGGCCACGCCCCCCTGCTTCCTGGCTTAAGGCTCAAAGGTCAAGCCACTGCCAAAGAAATGTCAGCCTTACACAATCAACAGGGTCATCCCAAAATACAGCAAAGTCTCCTCTTGGGTGGGGGTGGTGGGTCTCTCTTTCAGCTGAAACCACTGTCTTTAAGAAATGTCAACATATTCCCAGCAAGTTGAAGTCAAAGGAAAGCCCAAAACCAAAGTCACAGGTATTGCAAGGTGGGACCTGCTTCGTGGTGGAATGGTGAGGGGTCCCCAGGGTCCGTGATTCAGCACGCAGACCCCTGGACATCAGAACCAGGCACTTGCCTGAGGGACGCTGACCTGACGCTGGACTAGCAAGGGAGGGGCAACTGCACCGTGGGTCTGTGCCCTGCTGGAGAGAAACGCGCGGGGGGGGGGGGTGTTCCAAAGCAGCCCAGGGAGAGCCCTGTGGTGAACGGGGAAAGCGTTCCTGAAGCGCCCCTGCGTTCTCCAGCTTGCAAGTGTCCAAGCCCTGTGCTTAGCCCCCACCGAAGGAGACATTCACAGGCCAGGCACCTGCTCAGTGACCGCAGCTGACATCCACACACCCGACCATCGACTATCGGCTCCAAGGTCTCTCCAGCCTCTCTGCAGCTTTGGCACCGACCCTTTGGGCCTCAACCCACTGTGTCACACCTGACACCACAGCGCTGTTCAGGGTTCCTTCAAGCCCCCTGCACCTACAGCCAGTGTAGGCTCCTGCACCTACACTGGCTCCTCCTTCAAAAGCTGCAGCCACCTAGGCTGTCCCAGGAGTTCCAGGGTCCTCCGCTGCCGACCGCCACTCTGGCTACAGTCCAACCCATCCTCCTCCTGGGGCCTCCAAGAAGCCCCCTCCCTCTAACGAACCCAACGGCAACCCCACCAGGCCCCACCCTCGGACAGCCTGGCCCAGACTGGCCCTGGAGCAGATTGGGTCACCACTAGCTAACCCGGGGACACAGGCGGTCCTCTGCCTTCTGGGTTCTCCTCTCCTCCTTGACAGGAGGGACCGGGAGGGACACTCCAAAGTCTCCTTTCTTTGCATTCCGAAATCAAATTTCCACCTTGATCACCTAGAACCAACCAGATTTCCCCTCGCTGATCTGTTTAAACAGGTATACCAGCTAATCCTGCAAATTGGCCTTAATTTCAAAAGGCTTTGGATTCTAACTTTTAGGAAAAAAATGCCTTGTTTTTCATCAATTCAAGCCAGAGTGGGTTTTTTTTTTTTTTTCTTATTTTTCCTTATTCTTCGAAGACATTGGGGAGAAGAGGATCCGATGAGCTTAATTTTGCTACTAAGATCAGGAGGCTGAGGAGTGCGCTGCCTCCGGCTCCCCTTCGGGGCGCAGAGACAGACGCCGTGGGCCCCGTGCTGTCTCAGCCGTGGGTGGCCGCGCGTTCCCACCCGGGCCCCACGTGGGCCACGGCGTCCAGAGAGCCGGGTCGGGCCTGGCCTGTGCACCCGCCGCTGCCGCGCCCGCCCCTGCCGCCCCCCACGGAGGGGGGGTCCAGATCCCTCAGGCCAGTCCCACCCGAGCCTGCGTGGCCTCCAGGCGCCCCCGACCAGGTGGCCGAGGAAGGTGCCCGCCGCGGTCCCGAGAGCCGCCTGGCCCGAGATCCGAGGCGCTGCGCCCCCGCCCCGCGTCCTCACCCGAGAGGCGGGCGCCCCCCTCGCCGTGCCCGCGCCGCCGCTGCAGGACGAAGTAGCAGCTGCTCTTCTGGGTCACCCAGAGCTTCAGCGCGTTCTTCAGCAGCACCTCCTCAGGCTTCAGCCACATCGCGGCGGCCGGCCGCGCCCGCGGGGCTCCGATCACATCGCCCCGGCCGCGCCGGACCGGGCCCGCTCGGGAGGAGACGCAGCGGCTATGGGAGCCGTGGCCGGCGGTGCGCAGCGCGCTGAGTCGGAGAGCAGGGGCGCAGCTCTGCCCACTCCCCGCGCCGGCCCCGCCTTCTCCCCGCCCCCGGACAGGCCCCACCCCGCACCCCCGCTGGCCCCGCCCCCTCCCCGCTCCCAGGACAGGCCCCGCCCAGCAGCCAGCCGTGGTCTAAATTCCGCCCCAGACGGGCCCCACCCCGCTCTCAGGCCGGGCCCTAATCCCCGCCCCGCACACGTCACGCCCCCGGCCTGCAGGCCACGCCCCTTCTGCAATTCCCAAGGCGGTGCCTGGCTTTCCGCGCCCCACTGTGGAGCGCAGGGTTCCGGAGCGCAGGAAGGAAGTCTTCCTCGCTGTCCATCCCTCCGGGGGGCGCCCGGGGCAGCTGAGAGCTGGGAAAGGACCAAGCAGAGCCGTGGTGGGAGCACCAGGTTGCCCCACTCGAGGACGATGATCTTGAGAACGGAGGTAATGGGGTAGGAGGTGGGGAGGCGGTGGGGGAGGTGGGTACAGAATGCAGACCAGGGACGTCAAGTGATCGGGGGCTTAAAATAACAAAACATTTTTAAAAATAATGAAACAAGGGCCAGGGGTTTAGTTCAGTCGCGTAAGGGCCTGCCTTGCAAGCGCGCAGTCCGATCCCCGGTACCAAAAAAAAATTAAAAAGTAGTTACTCAGAGTACAAGATATGGGCATAAAAAAAATAACGAAACAGCGTTATACTGGAAAGCGATCACATTCGGGAAGCTGACTCTCCGTGCGCTTTGGTTGACTCTCAGCACTCATGCATGCGTCAGGGGCAGTGCTATGGCTGTGTGTGGGCGGGAGAACCTAGCCAGTGACCCACGAGTCTGCCCTCCAGGACATCGCTTTGGCTCGGGTCTGGATGCTCTGCCAAGGGGTCCCACACGAAGGCACAAGCTGGAGTCCAGAACGGGGAGTGGGCGTGGGGGTGCCGTGGAGTCCCCGTGGAGCAGGTGCTGGCGACGAAAAAGGAGAGTCTTCCAGGCAGAATGGGACAGGGCCAGACTGGAGTGGCCTCCGGACCGGGAAGAGTGAAACCTAGAAATTGAGAAGAGCACCGGAGAGCCCAGGGGACTGGGAGCGGCCTGCAAGGATCAGGAGGGGCCAACTTTGAATCCCCTGAGTCCAGCAGGCAGCACCCCGGTACACGGGGCAGAAGAAGCCGGCCAGGGGCCCCGGGTCCTGGACTGGCCAGACCCAGGCCAACATCCTGTTCCTAAAACTGCAGAGGCCACCTGCGGTGATCAGAGGAGTTAGGGTGCCCCAGAGAACACAAAGCAGCTACAAGTAGTAAGAAAATACACTTTTCTGACACAGGGCCAGGCCGGGGAAGTGCAGAGATGAATGGACACGAGAGAAGATGGACAGAGGAGCGGGGCAGCAGGGGAGGCACAGACCCGGAGAAGGGCCCCTGGGGAAGAGCGCAAGGAGGCCTCGTGGAGCGCAGATGTGCCTCGACCCGGGCTCCACAGAGTATGAGCTTGGTTCGAGGTCGGGTTCAGAGAGCAAGGGTGGTCAGCGTCAGCACACACAACCTCCGGTTTAAGGCCCAGAGATCGGAACTCAATATTGCTTCTAGCTTGCTTTGTGCCCTTGACAAGGAGTAGGAATCTCAGCAACCCTCAGTTGGCCAAAGGACACAATAGGGACAATCGGATCCCCTTTACAGAACTATCCAGGTAGGATCGATTTACGCACTTGTAATGCACAGCACTGTGGTTTGGATGTGACCTCCAAAGTCCCTTGGGTGGGAAACTTAATCCCAATGTAATGGTGATGGAAAGAGAACCCTTCGGAGAGGATTAGTCGCTTCTTACTGGAGATTGATGAAAAAGTCAGGGCACCCTCTGTCACCCCTCCACCTTATAACAGGGGACAGTATGGCATGATGGGTTGTCCAAAGGCTGGTGCCTACTTTGATGTCCCAACCTCCAGGACCATCAGCCAAAAAAACTTACGTTCTTTATAAAGGATGCAGTCTGGAGGATTCTGTTACAGCAGCATAAAGCAGAATAAGGCACAAGCATACAAAGAACATCAGTGGTTATCACAAGTTGTCTGAAACCTCCTGAGACTAACACAACCTTACCCATGTTTCAATCATTCTTAAACTCGCCTGCCAAACATTACACAGGAAACATGAGAAGGGTCTGAAGATAGTGGGTGGGGAAGGAAAGGGTGCCACACAGTGCCATACCCTGAGTTAGCTTTTTACACCCACAGCCCTGCCCGTGGCCTCCCATTATGCAAACCAAAGGAAAGCCCTGGGAGCAAGGGAGGTGCAACCTCCAGGGCAGAGGAGACCGGGCGCTGAAGAGCATGGACAGTTTGGGTGCTAGAGCATCCTGCTGCTGCTCATTTAGGGTGCTCATTCCCTTGATAGTGTTGTGAGTTGAATTCTGTCCCGCCAAATATGTCAAACTTCATCACCCCAGGTGTGATCTAGTTTGAAAAGAGCCATTACAGGTGTGTTTAGTTAATCAGAGACTTGTCGGTGTGGCTCTGCATCCAGTGTGACTGATGACCTTGTAGAAAGGGGAAGTTTGGATGAACAGTCGTGCAGGGAGATAACACCTGTTGTGGTCAGGGGCTGCAAGGTGAACAATTACATACAGGACATGGAATTTATAGTATTTATAATGATCACCCAAGGAGTCACAAAGAAAGTGAAGAAAATCTCCCCACAACACTGAAGACCTAGAGAATCCAGCTGAGGGCCTGGACCCCATGACAATAACCTGCATGAGTTCAGCAGAAGACCTAGAGCCCACGACAGTGACTCATGAAGTCGGTTTCTTGAATCTTCCCTGGGAAGGCCCAAAGGTCAGCAATGGAAGCTAGAAAGTCTATGCCAGTGGGTGAGAGATCTGTGCCAGTAGACTGAGGGCTCTTCAGTGGAGCCAGAAAGTGACACTCAAAGTAAGGACCAGGGCTCCCCTGAAAAGTACCACAGCCGTCCCCAGTGACAGTGAGGTCCTGAGATCTTCCAGTAGCCAAGTTCATATCAGGAAGCCAGCATGACAAGCTTCTCCTGGAGACTGAATAGCACACATCTTCCCCTCTGGAACCAGGAAGCGTTGCTAAGGACCAGTGCTCACAGAGTGAATCACAGCCTGAGCTCCTCCAGTTCCTCCAGTGATAACAGCCGAGTTCATGTCAGGGAGGCCAGCAAGACAAACTCCTCCAGGAGAACCAAGAGCTCCAATGACAACACTCACTTAGGACCCACGCCACTACCCTTTCTCTCCAGATCTCCTTTTCATGCAGGCAACAGCCCTTAGGTGGGCCCTCCACGCCCAGCACCACACTGATTCAGTTCAGCTGGTGTTAAGTTGATCACCAGTCACCAATCCACCACTCCACATGAAGACTCCATCATGCTGTCACAAACCAAGGAACAGCCAGACACCTGGAGAGAGACCAGGGACAGGGCTTCCCTAGCACCCTCACACGTGTCCCTCTCCTGACACATGGATCTGGGACTTCCAGCCACCAGAACTATATATAAGGCAGCACATTTCCTTGTAATCTGTGGTTCACTAATGGCCATTTTAGCATGAATGCACTTGTTTCCCCCACCATGAGGCAGGAGATTAGAGCAGAGCAAGTGGCCACGACCTGTCAGTCACAGAGATACCAGACATATACCCTGCACCTGGACCAATCAAAAGACACTATCTTCAGTTCTTCTGTTGTGAAATTAAGCAGGCTTTTGATAGGATGGCTGAGATCTGACATCAGCATGGGCCATACAAAAGACAGCAGCCCTTACCCTCCTGGCCACTGCACGGTCTCCCATCTTGCACAGTGTACTTCTTTTCCTGCTTTTGTTGGCCTGCACTCTCTATGGAGTGTACTTATTTTCCTGACTTTAATAAATGCTAAACCTTACTACCTTTTGCTTCTTTGTTCAGGACAAGGACAACCTGGAAAGAATCCCTAGAAGGAGTCCACAGAACTCTAGAACCCAGTGACATCCTGCCCGCCATCCTCTCCCACCCATTCTGAGATGGATTCTGTCCCCTGCCAGGACCCTGGCTGGTCCCAGAAATGACTCCGTTAAACACAGCCTCAGGGCAGAATCCTGTCTGGGTTCCCACCTGCATGTGTGCGCAGAGGGAGCAGAAGGGCTGTCAGGAGGTGGCTGCAGCAGGGTTGCTCAGATGGGCACTGAGGGGCGGATGGAGCCCAAGCTCTGGGGGTTTCTACTGCTGTTAAATGTGATTGCTATGGCAACTGCTATAATTACAAAGACTGTACAGCCAGCTGTTCCTGACTGCCCTGGGGAGTTTACAAAAAATAGGTAAGCATGAGGTATTAAATTCCTGACTCAAGATAAAGACACGGTGAAATTCTTATCTCTATGGCCACAGGACACACGAGGTTTTTCTCCAGATCCTAAACACAGAGGTGCAGGTCACAGTATTGTGGCTGCAGAGTTTCACTTGCAACCTCGATGGCTTGCTAGGATGGAGACGCTGGATGGGAAGGCATAGGATGGGACATTTGTGATGAAGACAATTGGACAGATACAGATGAGGCTGATTCCAAATCCCAGCACTCCCTGAAAGCAGTAGGGGTGGAAACAGGGTAACCAAGGAGGTGGGAAATCCTCCTTTATGCATTGGGAAGAACCTGGCGACCGTGCATGAGGCTGAATTCTACCTACCGGCAGCAAGCAAATGCAAGGCCACGTGCAAGCCGGGATGTAGCTCAGCGGCACAGCACCTGCCTGGCAAGCAAGAGGTCGTTAGTTTGATTCTTGGTACCAAGAAAAACAAAACAAAACAAAACCGCTCAATACCTCAAAAGCAGTTCATCAAAGCCATAGTAACACCAGTCATTGTCCAAAAGAATGCATTTGACTTGAATAGATGACACTGATGTGATTAGAATATTAATAATCTTTAAAAGATTATAGTTGTTTTGGTTTTGGTAATTTTTTTTCAGACAAGGTCTCACCATATAACTTAGACCAGTCTTGAACTCACGGTGTAGCCCAGGCTGGCCTCGAACTCACAGTGACTCTGGGTCACAAGGACCCCCAGGAGGAAGCTGACCAGTGGTAAGGGATTAGTTAAGAAATATTCAATGGGTAGGGAAGAAACTGCTCAGAAGGAAGAAAAACAGTGATGGGAAAAAGGGGAACGGGAGGAAAGGAAAAGAAAATATGTATATATACACAAGATAGTTAAGACAGTTATGCAGCTGGCTTCCGTTAGCTCACTGAAAAGACAGATTTATGCTAACACATTTATGGACATTTCATGCCTAAACTTGTACTTAGAGCAACTACTCTAACAATATGCAATGTATTAAAAATTTTTACTCTCCTAGCCTGTCTTGAAGCTCTGTTTTATTGTCATTTTTCATTTTCCTGTTTAAAATTTTAAAAAAGAAATATTCCATGAGTGTGTTCAATAGGCAGGCAGGATACAATGTTCCTGGGATGGAGAAGCACTGTCTCCTGGTTCCCGGTGTTCTGTCTGTCTAAGGACATCCCCGGCAGAGAAGAGAGCTGTGCACTCCACGTGGGGCTTGGTGTATTGTCAGTTCTCAGTGCTTTCTCACAATAGGTTTCAAGTCAGCAGGGTCTTGTTTGGTCCACAAAGTTTAGTTACTGAGCTGGGTGTAGTGGGGCATGTTCATAAGCCCAGCACTTAGAAGGCTAAGGCAGGAGGATCGTTGTGAGCTCAAGACTAGCCTGGGCTACAAAGTGAGCTCAAGGCCAGCCTGAACTGCATAGTGAGGACTTGTTTCCAAAAGACAAAAACAAAAACAGTTCAGTTACTGATCAAACCCCCAAACCAGATGGGCAACAGAACCAGGCTTTGCTTTGAGGATCTTCTTAGTCCTGAACCAACTCTTCTTTCATCAACTCACATTTCAAGTGGGTTTCAGGCTTCCTCACACGGGAAGAATGACATCTCTTTTCCCCCTTAGTGTGACTTACAGTAAAGCTGAGATGAGAGCTGCCAGGGGCTTCAAAGAAAAGGGCGCTAATTCTGAGTCCTGCCTTGCTGCCCTCCCCCAGTTGCATACTGAAATCAAGGTCCTTGGCCGCTTACGATTTCAGTTTCTTCACTTCTCTGTGTGTGAGTCTCATGGAGACACTACCAGACCTAAAGGAGCTGACCCTGGTCACACCCCAGCTACAGAAGGGCCCTGCATCGTCCCGTCCTCACCCTGGGCACCCCCATGATGGGCCTTGCCGCTGCCTGCTGTTCAGAAGCTGCTTCAGAACATGAGGGCCACAGGTGCCCCAGCACCAGAAGAGGCAAAGATCCAGGGCAAAAGATGACGAGTCCTTAACAGTGACCCATCCACACCAAACGGCTATGGGTCGATTTAACTAAGCACATCTAGTTCATCATTTCTGGTAAGTGTCACAAGCCACTGCTGGCTTGAGAGAGATGAGACCCTTAGGTCTCCCATCCACAAAAAAAAAAAAAATGTCCTCAAACTGCTGACCTCAGGGCTCCTGGAAAAGTGAGCCTGGCTCTCTGTCCCCACAGGAGGACCACCACAGCACGCATAGCACTCAGCCGCTGGTCACGGCTCCTGAAGGCTGAACGGTCACAAGGTGACCTGAGGACACTTGGAAAGTGTGTCTTCACAGAGGACAGAGACCAAAACAAATACACAGAGGACAATGGAAAATAAAAATGAAGACAACACAGGAAGCAGATGCCAGCATTAAAAATGAACGTCACTGGAGAACCAGGAATAAAACGTGTACCAGAGCACTAGAGTGGGAGCCTATTTTTAAAAGGGGGAACCTAGAATACGGAAGATGCATAGGAAATTTAAAAATATAATTGCAAAAATGAAAAGTTCAGCAGAAGGGCTGAGGGATGCGGGGTGAGGTTAAGGGTCATTTCCCAGGGTAGAAGATAAAACATATTTAAAAAAAGAACAAAGACACAGACAGAAGAGATGGGACAGTTGAACAAGTGGTTGTGTAATAGAGTTTGTGAAGGCAGAACGGAAAAAAGGAAAGGAAAAAAATTATGTAAAATGCAAAGCAAGCCAGAACCGTGAGATCATTTCTCAGACATACAGAGGATGACTCTTCACATTGCATGAGCCCAACAGCAATAAAAATAAACCTTAAGTTTGAAAGATGTAACTTGATGGACAAAAAGAGAGTCGTGCAGAGGTGCATCATCATGCCATTCAGAGCACCCAGGATCAAAGAGACATCCTACACCCTTCTGGAGAGAGGAAAGAAAACCATAAACATGCTGGGCATGGTAGCACATGCCTACAATCTCAGCACTCAGGAGGCCGAGGCAGGAGGATCACTGTGAGTTCGAGGTCATCCTGGGCTGCAAAATGAGTTCCAGACCAGCCTGAACTGCAAAGTAAAACCTTCTCTCAAAAAGATGACACACACAAAAAAAGATTAGGAATCAGACCAACACTTCATGTCCCAAGAAAGTACCAAAGCCAAAAGAGAGTGTAACAAAACCTTCAAAGTCTAAAGGAGAATGATTTTTTTTTGTACCAGGGATTGAACTCATGACCTCACACTTGCCAGGCAGGTGCTTATGCTGCTGAGCTAAATCCCCAGCCCAGGAGAATGATTTTAAATGAGGAATTCTATACCCAACTAAACTATCACAAAAGAAGGAGGATCAAATGGCAACATGTTTCAAAAACTTGCAAATATTCTCGGGAGGTACTGAAGAATGTGAAATGAAGGAGCAAATCAATAAAAAGGGAAGAAAATGGGGACCAGAAAGCAGGGGACTACACAAGGAATGAGTTCACAGAGTCAGGAACTAACCCAGCACGATGGCCACTCAGCAGCCCCAGAAAGTCCTCGACCTGGATAGAGCAGGAAGCCAAGGTACCAGGGCAGCTCTCAGGCTGAGAGGGATCTGACTGAAAGGAACGGGGTTCAGAAAACTTGATAGCTCTGGCAGAGATTCACAAATGAGCCTATGCAGAATTCATAGATAATTAAGCAATTTTCTTCTGTCTGGTTTTTTTGTTTGTTTGTTTTGTTTTGGTGGTAGTGGGAATTGCAACCCCAGTCCCTTTTACTTTGAGACAAAGAGGTTCATGCTCAATTGCTAGGTTGTCCAGGCTATGCTTAAACTTACGATCCTCTTGTCTAGGCCTCCCAAAGGGCTGATATTACAGGCACTGCACCACATACACAAATCTTCTCCTCAAAGCAATGTCTTTCACTTCTGCAGTTTTGAGGCTACACAGGGTGGAGACCCACTACTTCCTGTAATGCCCCCAGGCCATCTTTTTTATTCTTCTGTTCCTTCTCAGCAATTGAGATCTCAGCTCAATCTTTATAGTTCACAGCTTTACTGGAGTTCTCATTCTGGCCAAACTCACAACATTTTAAATCATTCTGCTGAGATGTTTGCTCTTTATTCACAACATAAATCTGGCTAAAGCCCCCAATAACAACTATGCTATCATCTCAAATTTAGATTGCCTTGAAATTTCTCCTGCCAGATTAGTTAGTCCACTGCCCTTAATCTCAGTCTCAAGCAAAGGCTTTGGACATAAGCCAAATGCAGACAATGCAGACAAACTTTCCACCAAGCCATAACACACATCGTCTAGACTCCAACAGCCTATGCAGTCGTTCCCAGCAGAAACTTCTCGAGCCTGGTCTTTACCTGCAGGATTCTATCAGCCTTCTGGTCTTTTGAGCTCTGACTAGAGTCTCCCATACAGAATAGCCTAAGGTCTTGCAGCACCACTCTTCCAGGTGACATCTCAGAGCCTTTCCAAACTCTTCCCACAAGCCATTCCCAAAGGCTCTTGAACCACATGATTCTGTACAGTTACAGCCACAACCCCACTCCTGGTACCAAATTCCATCTTGGTTACCTTTCTCTCATTGCAGAAGATCAACACCAGGGCAGCTCACCTCCTGGATGGGATAAAATGGAAAGAGGAAGGACATATGAGCCTCTGTTCTTCAGAGGAGCTCTGGTCTTTGCCTTCAGCTTGGTTGTCATCTCCTGGTTTCCAATGCAGACCCAACAGCCTGTGGGGGGGGACTTGCATGAAACACTGCAGTGAACTCCAGACCTTGGATTGAATGCTTCAGCTTCTGGCATGCAGATACCATCTGCATGTTTCCTCATCCAACCCTGTGGCTGACCATCATAAGCCAATCTTGTAATTTCTTATACATTTATATATCTCATGTTATATCTGTTTCTCTAGTAAAATGGTAATACACTTGTCTTTAGTTCTCACAAAACTAACTTTTCTATAAAATGTACACATTTCTACCATTGTATTTTTAATTTCCAACAGCTATTTTTAGCAACTATGGTAAATTTCCTTCTGCCTTATTTTTGAAATCCAATATTATTCTCACTGTTTTGTCCTTTTACTGTTTTTGTTTTATTCAATGTCCTGTTTTGATTTGTTTTATTCTGTTCTGTTTTGATTTTATTATGTCTGATGGTATGGGTAGCAATTTTGAAGAAAACAGGAGGCATTGTGGAAGCAATGGTTGATTTCCTAGTATTCTGTTTTGAAGCTCTATATCACTTTCATTGTTTTGTTTTGGTTGGCTTTGTTCTATTTTATTTTGTGTGGTTTTATTCTCTTTAAAAATAAATAAATAGTAAATGAAAAAATAGACTGGGCATAGTTTTAAGCTTTAGGAGTGAGCAAAAAAGGTCACCCCATGCCAGGGTCTGAAAGTTCGCGTACTCCCCAAACCCTGGGGGTGATACCACCTTACTGAGGAGATGGCCTTAGGGGTGGCTGGGACATGGAGGTGGGGCCTTCACAAATGAGATTAGTTCCCTAGGGGAAGAAGCCAGCCCTCACACCCTGAGAGGATGCATCAGGAAGATGCTGCCTATGGAGTGGACACAGGACCTTCGGTCGTGGATCTTGACTGTGGACTTTCCAGTCTCTGAACTGTGCAAAATGCTTTTCTTCTGATCATAAACCCCCTCAGGCATTTTCTCATAGCGGTTTAAATAAACAGCAGGTGTTTGTTTATTGCCCCACACTGGGCTTGATAATTCATCATGAGGGCTGTTTTGTAACTCTGTAGGGACAGAGGTCAACTTAGAGATGTTTATCTGGTGGAAATGCCAGTTATTTCTTATCAGTTAAACCAACAGCCACAAAGATTATGGGTCATGGCCCTGTTGGACATAAATAAGCCACCTTCTTAACCCAGCAGTGGGTAGAAATCCCTGTGTGTACCCAGCCTCTCAAGTGCCAGTGGCACTCATTTTGCCAGCTCAGCCTGTATCATCATTCATTACTGAGTAGCAGAATGTCTTGCATGCATATGGTGATGTTGCCTTTCTGAGAATTAACAAACATTAAGATT